TTAAAAACATTTAGATCACACCTTTTAAGTGTGATTAAAAACATTTAGATCACACCTTTTAAGTGTGATTAAAAACATTTAGATCACACCTTTTAAGTGTGATTAAAAACATTTAGATCACACCTTTTAAGTGTGATTAAAAACATTTAGATCACACCTTTTAAGTGTGATTAAAAACATTTAGATCACACCTTTTAAGTGTGATTAAAAACATTTAGATCACACCTTTTAAGTGTGATTAAAAACATTTAGATCACACCTTTTAAGTGTGATTAAAAACATTTAGATCACACCTTTTAAGTGTGATTAAAAACATTTAGATCACACCTTTTAAGTGTGATTAAAAACATTTAGATCACACCTTTTAAGTGTGATTAAAAACATTTAGATCACACCTTTTAAGTGTGATTAAAAACATTTAGATCACACCTTTTAAGTGTGATTAAAAACATTTAGATCACACCTTTTAAGTGTGATTAAAAACATTTAGATCACACCTTTTAAGTGTGATTAAAAACATTTAGATCACACCTTTTAAGTGTGATTAAAAACATTTAGATCACACCTTTTAAGTGTGATTAAAAACATTTAGATCACACCTTTTAAGTGTGATTAAAAACATTTAGATCACACCTTTTAAGTGTGATTAAAAACATTTAGATCACACCGCGAGCTGACCGGGCAGCTCGATCCCCGTCATAATCAGCGAAGTGGCAATCTTGAACGCTTTATCATCACAAACTTCTCTGAACAAGCACAATTCGGGTTGGATTCGCATCTAAACACTCATAGCCTCACTGAAATAAAAAGTGCGAATAAAATTACAACTCAAAGGAGTTTTGTCAAACGGGATTGCCAATAAATAAAACCTAACAATCTACATACTTGGATTTTAGCTACGGGGCCACCATCGTCGGAAAGCTCACTTCCAGGGCTTCATTTTTCACTCAAGAATCTCTTAAAGCCAAGTCCGGGTGGGGGAGATATGATCAGTTGAAGTTGGGCATCATCCCGGTTGGATCGAATCTGCGCGGCTTCACCAAAAAGGGCATAACTTTTTGCATAGGAGGAATTTTAATGCAAGGTTTGCGCCATTGGAAAGCTAACTTATGAGGCTTCAATCTAGACACCCACCGGCCACTTTGTGACCTTGGAAGCATCTGTCGGCAATCTATTTATCCGACCGACAATTTATTGTGCCGACCGGCCATGTATTTTAGCCGACTGACCATTTTTGTTGGCCGACGACCTTCCGGAGTATTCTACAGATTGAGTGGATACCAGCTGTGCCAGCTGGAGGGCACAGACTGGATCCTCCATACACGTGTATGGAGGATCCAGTCTGTGCCCTCCAGCTGGCACAGCTGGCATCCACTCAATCTGTAGAATACTCCGGAAGGTCGTCGGCCAACAAAAATGGTCAGTCGGTTGGAGCATTACATACAATCCTCCATATATCTATCTCATCTAAGCCTCCAAACCCTAAAATCCTTGCTCCATTTGCACTACACCCTATAACACCACACCACCACTCCATTCCAGAAGCTTGGAGGGCCTTCTCAGAGCTTTGAAGGCACCTTTTCTCAAGCCAAAAGGCTGCTAAAGTTTGGTCTTCAAGGGTGAGCAACATTTCCTCTCTTTTAAGCTTATTTTTGTATCCTTTCTAAGCCATACATTCTTGCATATTTGGGCTCCGACCCTAACTGGAACTAGGCTTATTTTGAGCTATTTTTCATATTTTTTTAAGGGCCTCTCACTGTTTAAGGCCTCCTTGTTGCACTTGCTTCATTGCCTCTCTTGTATGCCATTTTCTTGTGTAGTATTTTTGGCCTATGTATAAATTGTTTTGAGGCATGTCATAAACTGTAAAGTTGCTCATTTTGAGCCCTTATTCAACATTTTTGAAGGGCTCATCACTTTTTGAAGCTTATATTTGCCACTTGCCTTTATATCTCTCTATTGGCTCCTTTTTTGCATGATTTGTTAGCCTCTTATGATTCTGTTTTTGAGCTTTGGTTCGAACTATAAATGGCCTTATTTTGACCCCCTCTTCATGTTTCATTAAGGGTATTTTACTGTTTGAGGCATCCTTTTTGTACTTTGTGTTATAGCTCTCTTTTGGCCTTGTTTTGCATAGTATTTTGAGCATACTTGTGCACTGTTTTGGGTTTGATCATAAACTGAAAACTGCCATGTTTTGGGTCACTCTTCAACATTGTTTAAGGGCCCTCTCTTGTTTGGGGCCAGCAGCTGTGACTTGCTTCTTTATCTCACATTTAGGGCCATTTTTGCATATTGGTTTAGCCCTATTTGTGTTCATTGTTTGGTCTTTCTTAAAACTGAAAACATGCTTTTTTTGGGGCTGCCTTGAATCTTTCTTCATGCTTCATGTTCAAATAATGCATGCTTTGTATAGCTGTTGGCCATTGCGTGTGCCTAGTTTTGCATTTCGGGTCTCATTCCATGCATCGGGTGCCATGTTTCCGTGATTCGAGGCTGTTTTATATCACATTTAGTGCTGAAATTACATGCTTGTATGCCATATTTCATGCCTCGCCATGCCTTGTTAGAATTTCATACTATGCCTTAGGTTTGGTCCTCGGTTTGCGTACATGCGTGCACGCGTTTGGAGAGTCTCATTTTCATCTAATGGCCACTGATTTTGGCATGCTTGCGAGCTATCCATGTTAGTTTAAGTCCATCATCGCATGTTGTTGCATGCCATGTTTACTTACATGTTTAGGTTGCGCGCCTAGTATGCATTGCTCATTTGAATGTTCATGTTGCATACTTAGCCTCCATGCCTAGGTTGCATTTCATTGAGCATGCATCCCTTGCCTCTTGATCAATCATGATAGGGGTTGGGGCCCTTTGATGTGTTTTGTGCTTGCATTTCATTTGATATCGAAGTTGCAAAACTTGGCCTCCTAGGCCATCATGCATAATTGATGGCCCGAGGGTCGAGGGGCATACTCCCTTGAGTCCATTACATGATTGGGAGAGTGGTCATGCATACACTTGCTTGAAATTCCATGCCATACACTGTCTGTTCTTGTTGCTGTCAAAAAACCAGATTCTGCAGGAACTTTCTGCTGACCGGCAGTATTCAGTGCCGACCGACAATCCTTCTTGGGCCGGTAGCTTCATCAGCAGCCGATGGATATTTTCAATGGCCGGCGGATATTTCTTTCAGCCGATGGTGTTCCACAGTGTTCAGGGGACCTATCCCAGAACTTTGGCAATTTTCAGGGAAGCAGGGCAGTGTAAATCGAGGCGGCAGTGGTATGGTACGGACTTTCCGGGCGAGACGGGTTCGAGCATGCATCATTCGCGCATCCCGAGGCAGGGGTTGTGGCCACCTTTCCTTTTGCATTCATTCTGTTAATTAATTAGAAATTCTGTAATAATTAATGTGTTTATTATTCGGACTATAATATTTATTCGGACCCTCTGCGCAAGGGCAATGTTGTAATAAGTGTGCATGTGTGTGATGTATGTCTTCAAACCCCACGTCTTTCTCCCTTTTATTTACCAGCTTATGATGGTTAGATTAGGGCATGTTTCAATTAGCATACAGTATGATAGCATGTTTGCATTCATTCATCTGTTTTGCATGCACCGGGCTCGGCGCATCATACTAACTGCATTTGTATTTCAATTTCAAAGTTGAATACATGTTAGCTGTTGCATTTCATATGTCATGTTTAGAATAACCGAGCCTGTTATAGTTACATCTTTGCATGTGTTGCATTAGGCATTTCTGTATAATTAGGATCATGCATGAATTTCTAATTAGCTTCTGTTTTGGCTTGTAGTACTCAGTGAGTTTTATGCTTTAGCATCCTTGCATGCGTGTGAGTGCTGCCATGAATAGCATGCTTACCATGAGGCTATATGCTTATGTGATATAACTGTCTGAATGCCTGTGGGTGAAGGTTGGGTTATTTGAATTGGAACAATTCATCAAATGTGTGTTTTAAGCCCACTAGATAGCGGCAAAATCTTGTTTTCTAAGCCCACCCGAGGGTGGCAAATCCACGTCTTAGCCTACTTGCGAGTAGCACCATCAAACCATCTTTCAAAAACAAACATGAAACGTTTTGTTCCAATTTAGGCGATTTGGTCTATATTTGTTTGCTGTGCGCATAACATAGTAATTCTAGACTAATAACCGGATTAAGAACACATAACGTTTTCAAAATTGGATATCATGGTTAGTAGAGGCCGATCTTCGGATCGGGCGAGAGGGGGTGCTCATAGCTGACCTTCCCCAATCGTACCCAAGTTCTCGAGCCGAGGTAACTTTGGTTATGACGGGCACGTGGCCTTTGGCACCGAGTCAGGGTTTCTTAAATTTCCCAAAATAAAATATTTTGGTGGCGACTCTGTATCTGGCAAAGCAGTCCATGTTTGGCACTTCTTTTTCTAAAAATCTGTTTTCTCAAAACGATTTGCCAGATTTGGACTCTTTGGTTCAGATTAAGAACCGTGACAAATTGAGTCCGAACTGTAGCGCGGGGTCCCTCGCGGACGTGCTACCGGAGTGTGATTAAAAAGGGTCATTTTTAATCACACTTTTTAAGTGTCATTAAAAAATGCTTTCATCACATCTTTTAAGTGTGATTAATAATATTTAGATCACACCTTTTAAGTGTGATTAAAAACATTTAGATCACAACTTTTAAGTGTGATTAAAAACATTTAGATCACACTTGGTAAGTGTGATTAATAATATTTAGATCACACCTTTTAAGTGTGATTAAAAACATTTAGATCACATTAGATCACATCTTTTAACTGTGATTAAAAATATTTAGATCACACATTTTAAGTGTGATTAAGAACATTTAGATCACATCTTTTAAGTGTGACTAATAACTAATAAAACATTTGATAAAAAAAAATTCGACATATTTGAAGAATAATCAATATTATTTTTGTACGCGCATTTGAAGAATATAATACGCACTATATACTATATTTTGAATCACAACCATATATTGAATGAAATAACGTCATATATTTCATAAATGAAAATTAAATGTTCAAAAGTATATACAAAGAAATTAATAAAAAAAAAAATTTAACTATGATTACATATATTAAAAAATAAAAAACACTTAGAAAAACTAAGTTCTTGAATGCTTTCAAAGCCATGTGGTTCGGCTCGTCAAAAGGTAAGTATCCAGCCATAAGAACAATCGGAATGACCCCACAAGACCATATATCAGCTGTTGTACCATCATAACCTTTATCGGTGAGCACCTGATAGAAAGGGGGAAAAAAAAGAAAGAAAGAAGTATCACAAATGCAAGAAACTAATAAGAAAAGGAAAAAATTTTGCATCAAAGTGACAATCCATTTCCATGACATCATAATTGATACCTCAAGAGCAACATAATTTGGGGTTCCACAGGCAGTGAGAAACAGCACGTCTTCCTACAGTAAACAAGGTAGTCAGTCTTTGATTAAGCAAAGCCACAAGACTTATATTGATGAATGAGGATTAGGTTTAAGGCAATCCATAACTTATGTGTCTGAATGATATTGAGATCATATAACCTCAATGTGGATTAGATCAAGTCTTAAAAAATGGTCACTGAATGTTTTCAAAGTGTCGAAATCTAGATGATGCATAATACAGAATCTTATGAAGAAGTCAACTAATAAAACTAAATTGCCTCCTTGATTTGGGGAAACTAATATAAAAAGAGGGAAAGGAAAGACACAAATCATAAAAAAAAAGTCCATTTCCAAATTAATAGAAACAAGAAATGAACAAGCCACTGAATGACAAAAGAAAAACTAATGGCCACATTATTCCTGTTGAATTCCTTTCAGAGCAAGGCACTGCTCCTGGCCAGAAAGGTAGTTTCTGGACTAGGTGATTTTAGTAAACCAAACAGACTGCAAAATTGACTCAGTGCTGCAACCATTTTTAAAAATTTAACGTTCAATTTATTAACACCCACCTGCTAAAAATCTGCTCTTAGATGAGGAAATTGTTGCAAACTCACATAATATTTACCCGCGCTTGCTGGGAAAATGCACTCAATCCAAAGTCTGAAACCTTGAGAACACCAAATGAGTCTAGAAGTAGATTCTCGGGCTGCAAAAGATGCAGGGTAATGCAAATTTCAGAGTCATGGTTGAATAGATAGTGTAGACACCCCATTTTTGACCGACCTTAAGACTCAGACGTCACCGATTGAGCACTTGGTGATGTTGCATATCGTGCTCATTCAGAGGTTTCAGAGTCTCGGCGGCGAGCTGAGCCTCCAGACTTCCGGACTCTTTCATACTTTGCCTCGGTTTGTGAACCAGGCTCTGTTTTCTCTATTTTCTCTTCCTGAAGGGAGGGAGAGGTCTCGTAGATCATCTCTCAGTGGCCATAGGCTACGTTTCGTGGTCGTAGGCCATTTTGCCCGTTTGGAGTCCGATTTCTGGTTTTTCGGAGCCGTTGGCCGTGTGCATCGGTTCGGGACCGCTTAACCACCTCCGTTTGCTCCGATTTTTGGCATGCATCTTATTTACTCCCTTTTGAAGGACACTGCGGCCCGAAAAACCAACTTCATGGTCGAACACCACTTCCGGTGCCTAACAGTCAATTTTCGGAGCCTCGGGCTGTGCGTTTCAGCCCCCGAACCTCCATTTTGCATCGGTTTGAGTTCATTTTTGGCAGGGACCTCTGTTTCATTGTTAGGAAGGTCGTAGAAGGGTGGGAGGCCAGTAATTGTTCTGACGACCATGTTTTATTCCTCCATCGCCCTCCGTCGCCCGTTTTTCCCACTTGAAAGCCAATGTTGACCACCCTAAGGCCACTTTTTCTTGCCCCAAACCACATATTTGTGTTGTACACACCTGGGAGGCCACCAATATCATATGGCCGGCCAGTAATTGTGTGTGACCCTTTTGAACCCCTCCTAAAAGTGGCATTTTCTCTCTCCTGGCTCATTTTCTCCAGTTTTTGATCACATGGTTGTGTTGTGCACACATGAGAGGCCCTCTTTTTGGCATGGCCGGCCATTAACCTTCATTGACCCTTTTGACCCTTGGCCGACCGGCCATGGGGAAGGCCGACCGGCCACCTAAACCCTAGGAAACCGGCCGGCCATGATCCTCTCTCCAAGTACTTTACAAAAATGCCCTCTATTTCCCCCTAGATTTTGTATCCGGGGGGGCCAACTTTTGGGGGGAAATTTGAATTCCATTCCCTCCCCTTTTTTCCCCCTCTTTTGCCTATATATCCAGGCCCTCCAGCTCCCATTTGAGGGGTTAGAAAGTTTGGTTTGAGCCTCCTACATTGTATCTCTCTCTCTCTACACTCCAACCCTCAAAACCTCTCAAATCCTACATCCATTCTACTCCATCTCCAAGCCAACCAATCCACACTCCATTCTAGCAGCTTCAAGGCCATTTCCAAAGGTCAAGGGCTCCCAAACTTGGTCCAAGAGTTGTTGAAGCATTGGTCTTCAAGGGTAAGTCTTCTATCCCTCTCTTTGGCCCAATTTTTGCTCAATATATTAGCTCCTCTTGATTGCATATTTGGGCTCCGACCCTAACTGAAAATAGCATTATTTTGAGCTCCTTTTCATATTTGTTTAAGGGCCTCTCCCTGTTTGAGGCTTCCTTTTTACACTTGCTTCTTTACCTCTCTTGTATGCCTCTTTCTTGCATAGTATTTTAGGCCTATTTATAAACTGTTTTGAGCTTGGTTATAAACTATAAAGTAGCTTATTTTGAGCCCTTATTCAACATTGTTGAAGGTCTCTTCACTGTTTGAGGCTTCCGTTCGTCACTTGCCTCTTTATCCCTCTTTTGGCCATATTTTTGCATGTTTTGTTAACCCCTTGTGCTTGTATTTTTGGGCTCTGGTCCAAACTGTAAATAGCCTTATTTTGACCCCCTCTTCATATTTTATCAAGGGACTTTTGATTTTTGAAGCTCCCTTTTTGCTCTTTGTGTTTAAACCTCTTTTTAGGCCTTATTTTGCATAGTATTTTAAGCTTGCACGTGAACTGTTTTGGGTTTGGTCACTAACTATAAAATACCATGTTTTTTGCCCCTCTTAAACTTTGTTGAAGGGCCCTCCTCTGTTTGAGGCCAGCAACCATCACTTGCTTCTTTGTCTCCCTTTTGGCCCATTTCTTGCACAATAATTCAGCCATACTTGTGTTTGTTTTCGTGACTTGTTGTAAACTGTAAAGTACTTCATTTTGAGCCCCTCTTAAAAAATTTTGAAGGGATCTTGGCCATTTAGGGCCAGAAGATGCTACTTGCTTCATTATCTCTCTTACGGGGCCATTTTTGCATGCTAACTTAGCCCTATTTGTGTTCACTTTTTGGCCTTGATTAAAACTGGAAATATGCATGTTTTGGGACTGCCTTGATTCTGTCCTTACACTTCATTTTCAAATAATGCATGCTTTGTATAGCTATAGGCCATTGCGTGTGCCTAGTTTTGCGTTTCGGGTTTCATTTCATGCATCGGGTACCATATTGCTATGTTTTGGGGCTGTTTTGCATCATATTTCGGTACTGAAATTTGCATGCTTGTATGCCATATTCCATGCCCTGCCATGTTTTGTTAGAGTGGCATTTGTGCCTTGGGTTCGGTCCTTGGTTTGCGTGCATGTGTGCATGCATTTCGAGTGTCTCATTTTTCATCTCATGGCTACTAATGTGAGTGTGGCTGAGGTCCACTCATGTTGGTGTAAGTCCATTGTGCATTGAGTATGCCATTTCATTTTATAGCATTGCGTATGCTAGGTTGTATGTTAGAGCATTGCGTATGCCTTGTTACATCGTGCATTGTGTATGCCATCTTATAGCATTGTACATGCTAGGTTGTATATTAGTTGCATTCATGCATGTCATGCATATTGCATTGTGCTTGGGATAGGAGTTAGCCCGAGCACAGGAAACGAGGGACGTTTCGTACTTCGAGTGACGGAACGTGTCTCAATTCCCAGTCACCGACACTTCGGATTATCCATGATGGAGTTTAGGTCTTGTTGTGTTTATATGTGCATTCATTTCATATTGAGTCGTACAATTCGACTCTTCGGCCATCATGCATCGATATGCATGATTGGTGGCACGAGGATCGAGGACTACACTCCCCGAAGAATAGTCATGTATACATATGTGAAAATACTTTGCCATGCCCCTTTGTTGCTCTCTATTGCAGCAAATTAGAAATCGGCAGCCTTCCGGAGCTTGGCGCACATTCCAAGAACAATTGCAAACAAAGGCAAACTGGGGCATCATAAGGGATTTTCCGACAAAGGCAACCTGAGCATGCATCATTCATCACCCGGAGCAAATTTGAGGCAGTCCCTGGCTTGCATGCCAATTTATTTCTTTCCTAATTTAATTTGTTAATTAATTAGGGTTTTATACTTATTTGGACTGTAATTATTCATTTGGGACTGTATATTATTTATTCGGACCCTCTGCGTGAGGGCAATGTTGTGATAAGTGTGCATGTGTGTGATGTATGTCTTCCAACCCCACGTCTTTCTCCCTTTTATTTACCCGCTTATGATGGTTAGATTAGGGCATGTTTCAATTAGCATACAGTATGATAGCATGTTTGCATTCATTTCATCTGTCTTGCATGCACCGGGCTCAGCGCATCATACTAACTGCATTGTATTTTCAATTCCAAGTTGAATACATGTTAGCTGTAGCATTTCATATGCCATGTCTAGAATAGCCGAGCCTGCTATAGTTGCATTTTTGCATGTGTTGCATTAGGCATTTCCGTATAATTAGGATCATGCATGGATTTCTAATTAGTTTCTGTTTTAGCTTGGAGTACTCGGTAAGTTTTATACTTTAGCATCCTTGCATGCGTGTGAGTGACTGCCATGAGGCTATATGCTTATGTGATATAACTGCCTGAATGCCTGTGGGTGAAGGTTGGGTTATTTGAATTGGAACAATTCATCAAATGTGTGTTTTAAGCCCACTAGATAATGGCAAAATCATGTTTTTCTAAGCCCACCCAAGGGTGACAAATCCACGTCTTAGCCTACTTGCGGGTAGCACCATCAAACCACTTTAAAAAATAAACATGAAATGTTTTGTTCCAATTCAGACGATCCAGTCTATACTTGTATACTGTGCGCATCACATAGTAAATCTAGGCTAATAACTGGAATAAGAACGCATAATGTTTTCAAAAATAGATATCATGGTTAGTAGAGGCCGATCTTTGAACGGGCGAGCGGGGGTGCTCAAGAAGTGACCTTCCCCAATCGTACCCAAGTTCCCGAGCCGAGGCAACTTTTGTGATGACGGACACGTGGCCTTAGGCAAACGAGTCAAGGTTTCCTAAATTTTTCCAAAATAAAACATTTAGGTGGTGACTCTGTATCTGGCAAAGCAGTCCATGTTTGGCACTTCTTTCAAAATCTGTTTTCTCAAAATGATTTGCCAGATTTGGACTCTTTGGTTCAGATTTAGAACCGTGACAATTTGAGAGTCCGAACTGTAGTGAACCCCAAATGAACAGAACAGGACTCATCCCTCCCGGGGCGTTTGGGGATGTCTACAGATAGCCAAAGAAACCAAATTACTGTTAGATAATAAATTCTTTTTTATAGGAAAAAATTAGAATAAATACATTAATTAATCAATGAAACATGTAAGAAAGTTTGTTAAACCTTTAAGTCTCTATGGTACATGCCTCTACTATGGCAGTAGTCTACAGCATTGATGAGCTACTGAAAATATCTCCTAGCTTCATCCTCTTTAAGTCTTCCTAGTTTGGCCTAGTTATAAAAGGGCCAATAAGGGAGTATTATCAGACAAATACAAGACTCGGTACCCACATGATTACATAAATGAGCCTCAATAGAACACACATTACCACAACAAAATGGTAAGCATGACATGAGCAAATGCCTAAATTAAGATGTAATGCATTACACAATTGATTATATTATGAATGAAATTATACGTGCTCAGAGAGTAGAAGCTCAAAAAACAATGCTTTACTATTTTGTCAAAAAGCTCGCCCTCACCAACATACTCGAGCACAATGTAGATCTTTGTCTTGCTTGTCGTAACCTATTTTCAAGCATAGAAAAAGGATGCATTAACATGTAAAACATGAAGCACTTAGACCATCATATTTCTAGTAGTGCGAAGAGCATTCAATTCCTTTTAAATTCTGCTCATAAATATCAAAAAAACTCAAAAAAATGTTGCAACAAATAGACATATAGGATAGACTACTAGTAGTTAGTTAATTACCTTGGCATAGCAATTGACTCTTCTTAATCTGGCTTTCTTGTAAGATGGGCGCACATTAAGGGCAGCAATCCAGTCCTTGATTGCTTTCTCAAATTGACTAAGTTTGGACCTGCAAGTAGCTCTGTTGCACAACACCACCGAGTTGTAGGGGTCATGGTCGAGTCCCTCTCCATATGCAACACAAGCCTCTGAGTATCTTTATCCCCTGAACAAATCGTTACCGTTGGATCGAGCCATTGCCACCGCCCGTGTCCTCCTAACCACCATGTTCACTTCCTTGTTGCTTGAGTCCAGCCGTGCTGCTCTTTGAGCCGCTGCTATTGCATCATCAAATCTGTCAACATAAATACACGACTTCCCACTCATTAAATTTTTTTTTTATAATCAAAGGTGTTTGATAGTTGTTTTGTTATACCAACAAAACACAATTCAACAAATGAAAAACTAAAAAACAAGAGGTGACCAAACCTTTTGAATAAATTAAATCATATGAATAAATTAAAAAACTATCAAAGGTGTTGGATAGTTGTTTTGTTATACCAACAAAACACAATTCAACAAATGAAAAACTAAAAAACAAGAGGTGACCAAACCTTTTGAATAAATTAAATCATATGAATAAATTAAAAAACTATCAAAGGTGTTGGATAGTTGTTTTGTTATACCAACAAAACACAATTCAACAAATGAAAAACTAAAAAACAAGAGGTGACCAAACCTTTTGAATAAATTAAATCATATGAATAAATTAAAAAACTATCAAAGGTGTTGGATAGTTGTTTTGTTATACCAACAAAACACAATTCAACAAATGAAAAACTAAAAAACAAGAGGTGACCAAACCTTTTGAATAAATTAAATCATATGAATAAATTAAAAAACTATCAAAGGTGTTGGATAGTTGTTTTGTTATACCAACAAAACACAATTCAACAAATGAAAAACTAAAAAACAAGAGGTGACCAAACCTTTTGAATAAATTAAATCATATGAATAAATTAAAAAACTATCAAAGGTGTTGGATAGTTGTTTTGTTATACCAACAAAACACAATTCAACAAATGAAAAACTAAAAAACAAGAGGTGACCAAACCTTTTGAATAAATTAAATCATATGAATAAATTAAAAAACTATCAAAGGTGTTGGATAGTTGTTTTGTTATACCAACAAAACACAATTCAACAAATGAAAAACTAAAAAACAAGAGGTGACCAAACCTTTTGAATAAATTAAATCATATGAATAAATTAAAAAACTATCAAAGGTGTTGGATAGTTGTTTTGTTATACCAACAAAACACAATTCAACAAATGAAAAACTAAAAAACAAGAGGTGACCAAACCTTTTGAATAAATTAAATCATATGAATAAATTAAAAAACTATCAAAGGTGTTGGATAGTTGTTTTGTTATACCAACAAAACACAATTCAACAAATGAAAAACTAAAAAACAAGAGGTGACCAAACCTTTTGAATAAATTAAATCATATGAATAAATTAAAAAACTATCAAAGGTGTTGGATAGTTGTTTTGTTATACCAACAAAACACAATTCAACAAATGAAAAACTAAAAAACAAGAGGTGACCAAACCTTTTGAATAAATTAAATCATATGAATAAATTAAAAAACTATCAAAGGTGTTGGATAGTTGTTTTGTTATACCAACAAAACACAATTCAACAAATGAAAAACTAAAAAACAAGAGGTGACCAAACCTTTTGAATAAATTAAATCATATGAATAAATTAAAAAACTATCAAAGGTGTTGGATAGTTGTTTTGTTATACCAACAAAACACAATTCAACAAATGAAAAACTAAAAAACAAGAGGTGACCAAACCTTTTGAATAAATTAAATCATATGAATAAATTAAAAAACTATCAAAGGTGTTGGATAGTTGTTTTGTTATACCAACAAAACACAATTCAACAAATGAAAAACTAAAAAACAAGAGGTGACCAAACCTTTTGAATAAATTAAATCATATGAATAAATTAAAAAACTATCAAAGGTGTTGGATAGTTGTTTTGTTATACCAACAAAACACAATTCAACAAATGAAAAACTAAAAAACAAGAGGTGACCAAACCTTTTGAATAAATTAAATCATATGAATAAATTAAAAAACTATCAAAGGTGTTGGATAGTTGTTTTGTTATACCAACAAAACACAATTCAACAAATGAAAAACTAAAAAACAAGAGGTGACCAAACCTTTTGAATAAATTAAATCATATGAATAAATTAAAAAACTATCAAAGGTGTTGGATAGTTGTTTTGTTATACCAACAAAACACAATTCAACAAATGAAAAACTAAAAAACAAGAGGTGACCAAACCTTTTGAATAAATTAAATCATATGAATAAATTAAAAAACTATCAAAGGTGTTGGATAGTTGTTTTGTTATACCAACAAAACACAATTCAACAAATGAAAAACTAAAAAACAAGAGGTGACCAAACCTTTTGAATAAATTAAATCATATGAATAAATTAAAAAACTATCAAAGGTGTTGGATAGTTGTTTTGTTATACCAACAAAACACAATTCAACAAATGAAAAACTAAAAAACAAGAGGTGACCAAACCTTTTGAATAAATTAAATCATATGAATAAATTAAAAAACTATCAAAGGTGTTGGATAGTTGTTTTGTTATACCAACAAAACACAATTCAACAAATGAAAAACTAAAAAACAAGAGGTGACCAAACCTTTTGAATAAATTAAATCATATGAATAAATTAAAAAACTATCAAAGGTGTTGGATAGTTGTTTTGTTATACCAACAAAACACAATTCAACAAATGAAAAACTAAAAAACAAGAGGTGACCAAACCTTTTGAATAAATTAAATCATATGAATAAATTAAAAAACTATCAAAGGTGTTGGATAGTTGTTTTGTTATACCAACAAAACACAATTCAACAAATGAAAAACTAAAAAACAAGAGGTGACCAAACCTTTTGAATAAATTAAATCATATGAATAAATTAAAAAACTATCAAAGGTGTTGGATAGTTGTTTTGTTATACCAACAAAACACAATTCAACAAATGAAAAACTAAAAAACAAGAGGTGACCAAACCTTTTGAATAAATTAAATCATATGAATAAATTAAAAAACTATCAAAGGTGTTGGATAGTTGTTTTGTTATACCAACAAAACACAATTCAACAAATGAAAAACTAAAAAACAAGAGGTGACCAAACCTTTTGAATAAATTAAATCATATGAATAAATTAAAAAACTATCAAAGGTGTTGGATAGTTGTTTTGTTATACCAACAAAACACAATTCAACAAATGAAAAACTAAAAAACAAGAGGTGACCAAACCTTTTGAATAAATTAAATCATATGAATAAATTAAAAAACTATCAAAGGTGTTGGATAGTTGTTTTGTTATACCAACAAAACACAATTCAACAAATGAAAAACTAAAAAACAAGAGGTGACCAAACCTTTTGAATAAATTAAATCATATGAATAAATTAAAAAACTATCAAAGGTGTTGGATAGTTGTTTTGTTATACCAACAAAACACAATTCAACAAATGAAAAACTAAAAAACAAGAGGTGACCAAACCTTTTGAATAAATTAAATCATATGAATAAATTAAAAAACTATCAAAGGTGTTGGATAGTTGTTTTGTTATACCAACAAAACACAATTCAACAAATGAAAAACTAAAAAACAAGAGGTGACCAAACCTTTTGAATAAATTAAATCATATGAATAAATTAAAAAACTATCAAAGGTGTTGGATAGTTGTTTTGTTATACCAACAAAACACAATTCAACAAATGAAAAACTAAAAAACAAGAGGTGACCAAACCTTTTGAATAAATTAAATCATATGAATAAATTAAAAAACTATCAAAGGTGTTGGATAGTTGTTTTGTTATACCAACAAAACACAATTCAACAAATGAAAAACTAAAAAACAAGAGGTGACCAAACCTTTTGAATAAATTAAATCATATGAATAAATTAAAAAACTATCAAAGGTGTTGGATAGTTGTTTTGTTATACCAACAAAACACAATTCAACAAATGAAAAACTAAAAAACAAGAGGTGACCAAACCTTTTGAATAAATTAAATCATATGAATAAATTAAAAAACTATCAAAGGTGTTGGATAGTTGTTTTGTTATACCAACAAAACACAATTCAACAAATGAAAAACTAAAAAACAAGAGGTGACCAAACCTTTTGAATAAATTAAATCATATGAATAAATTAAAAAACTATCAAAGGTGTTGGATAGTTGTTTTGTTATACCAACAAAACACAATTCAACAAATGAAAAACTAAAAAACAAGAGGTGACCAAACCTTTTGAATAAATTAAATCATATGAATAAATTAAAAAACTATCAAAGGTGTTGGATAGTTGTTTTGTTATACCAACAAAACACAATTCAACAAATGAAAAACTAAAAAACAAGAGGTGACCAAACCTTTTGAATAAATTAAATCATATGAATAAATTAAAAAACTATCAAAGGTGTTGGATAGTTGTTTTGTTATACCAACAAAACACAATTCAACAAATGAAAAACTAAAAAACAAGAGGTGACCAAACCTTTTGAATAAATTAAATCATATGAATAAATTAAAAAACTATCAAAGGTGTTGGATAGTTGTTTTGTTATACCAACAAAACACAATTCAACAAATGAAAAACTAAAAAACAAGAGGTGACCAAACCTTTTGAATAAATTAAATCATATGAATAAATTAAAAAACTATCAAAGGTGTTGGATAGTTGTTTTGTTATACCAACAAAACACAATTCAACAAATGAAAAACTAAAAAACAAGAGGTGACCAAACCTTTTGAATAAATTAAATCATATGAATAAATTAAAAAACTATCAAAGGTGTTGGATAGTTGTTTTGTTATACCAACAAAACACAATTCAACAAATGAAAAACTAAAAAACAAGAGGTGACCAAACCTTTTGAATAAATTAAATCATATGAATAAATTAAAAAACTATCAAAGGTGTTGGATAGTTGTTTTGTTATACCAACAAAACACAATTCAACAAATGAAAAACTAAAAAACAAGAGGTGACCAAACCTTTTGAATAAATTAAATCATATGAATAAATTAAAAAACTATCAAAGGTGTTGGATAGTTGTTTTGTTATACCAACAAAACACAATTCAACAAATGAAAAACTAAAAAACAAGAGGTGACCAAACCTTTTGAATAAATTAAATCATATGAATAAATTAAAAAACTATCAAAGGTGTTGGATAGTTGTTTTGTTATACCAACAAAACACAATTCAACAAATGAAAAACTAAAAAACAAGAGGTGACCAAACCTTTTGAATAAATTAAATCATATGAATAAATTAAAAAACTATCAAAGGTGTTGGATAGTTGTTTTGTTATACCAACAAAACACAATTCAACAAATGAAAAACTAAAAAACAAGAGGTGACCAAACCTTTT